GAAACAGGCTGCTCTTAGTGACAAACCCACAGAGAATCATCACCCAACTCTCCAGTTTCCTTCACCTCTCAAGCACCTTTCAGATCATTGTGTGGGTTTTACAGCCTAAAATGTCAAATTACAAATGTTGCTCAAAGCTCTTATCACATTTCCAGCTGCAGTAGGCAGCTGTTTTGAGTAAAAAGTTCACATTGATTGTACACTACCGGTCCAGTAGTTAGTGAATATAATGTCGCATTTAGCAGCTAAAGAATAAATATTTGCTAACACATTATTCTTTAACTTTATAAGGAGATAATGTGCCAAAGCTGTTTACAGTGTTGCTCCCAAGTGGCCAAAAAACTATGGGTTTCCTGGGATATGCAGGATCATATGTAAATGTAAAAATAAAACCATGAAAACACAACTCGGAGACTGGAGGAGAGCATGTTGGAGGTGATAATATGTTCACGCCCTGTTGTATGTAATGCTGTTTCTCTTTCTTATAGAGATCTTTGTTTCCAGGCCGAAGGTCATGGACGCACAAAGGAAAGATGTTCAGTTCAAGAAAATATTTAAAGGGCCAGAAAGCATCCTGAATGGGTTTGTATATCTTTGCTTGTATGTTTGTGCATCATTTGTGTCCTAACACCACAGTTGGCCAAAGAAGAAAACTCATTTGCCTGCGCATTTACTCTGCTTCCCCTTCACAGCACAATGCAGCAGCAGCCACTGGACAAAGAGGCCTCACTGTGGCATTCAACAGAAGGAGTGACGCAGCCGTTCATGGGAAGGATGAAGGGGTTGGGGTGCAAGATTGAGGTTAGGAGGGTGGGACTGAATGGGTGGCACAAGGTGGGGGATAGATGAAGAGGGGTAAAGAGGAGGGAGGGGCAGCTGGACACAAAATTAGACTCGACCCAGATCCTGTGGCAGTGGTGCCTTCTCATCAACATAGTCACACAATACTGAGGAAGGCTCGGCTCCATGCCAGATGCCACTGTGTATTTGTGTTTGTGCTGTGTGCTGTGTGCTTCAAGGTGACACAGCTGTTTACTCAACAGGATGACCTCACCCTGGACAGCTGTGGCGTTTGGTACACCCAACAATTAATATCCAGTTTATGGAAAATCAACCAAGATGTTTTTGTACTTGTCCTGCTCTGGAAACTGGACACATGTATTCACAGGCTGTTGGTGCATTCAGATGTAGTCAAATGGGAAGGGGAAGCTCGGTTAAGACAGGGAAATGAGTTCTACATGCAAGGTTGTGGTCAAAGTCAACTTGTGGTCACAGGGTGTTAATAGTAAACATTAACAGAGAGGAGGACTGATGAAAACACACCTCTTTCTAATGTGAACTGTGTATGACTCACTTGGATTTCAGTAGAAGAATCTGTAAAAACATTTGCAGCCTTTCTATGTCCGTGACTTCGTGATACCTTCTCTAAAAGACTTCTAAGGAGAGAACAGTCACCTGTGGTGTTAGAGGTTCACTAACAAGTGTTAAGCATTCACAGTCATATGCAGTGAAATGCCTCCCTCTAGTGCTCAAGAAGAAAACCATAGTTATATCTGAGAGTCAACACATCCCTTAATGACTACAAGAAATTCAGAAAAATAACTCTTTCACTATATCTTTATATCAATCAACAGATATATGGAACTACAGCTTTACAAATAGTCATCTTCCAAGCATAAGCATGAACATTTTTGCCAAGTATTATCAAAAATACAAGGAATTTGACTCCAGTCCAATGACTCCCAATGAGCACAACAGTAAAAAAAACAAAACAAAAAAAAACCCAAACCACAAGTAAGAAAAAAAAACAAAGACAAAAATGTACACATATAAATAGAAATGTTAAAAGAGCTACTGTAGCTAATGTACATCTGTATGTGGTGTGTACAGCGTCCTGCCATATACCTGGACCTGGTTTCCCTTCTTTCATGCTCCTACTGAATGTTGGTTGTCGAGCTACTCTCATTCCATATTCTCAATTTAACTGCTTTTATATAGCACTATACAGTTTTATTGGATTTTTAATACTGATTTTATTTGGTATTCATGTGTATATCTTCATTAATGTTTTGATGGTGTTACTTGTTCAGGGCATCACTGAAAGAGAGCTTTCCCTCAACTGGTTTTTCACTGATTAAATAAATGTTGGTGATGATGATGACACAGTATACATGTACCTGATTATCTTGGTCAGAATGCGCGATTTGAATGTACTGTACAACGTGTGACTGTGACACTAATGAAAGCTGGATTGTCTTCTGTTAATAAGGTTCTTTATTGAGTACAATCCTCTTCTGTGATTATTGTAGTGTAATCAGGATAATGCAGCAGTTCCTCTGAGCACAGTGGAGAGTGCACATGCAAGTTTTCATTGTCTTGTAGCCTTTACTTTTATATCTTTTTCTTTAAGGTGTGCTATCATGATAGTACACAGAGTATACAGGCTTCATTTATTGTGAAATGAAGCCAAATATATTCTCTTCTGTTTCCAATTTAACACTAACCACAGATTTTGTTTGTGGGCCAGATGGAAATAATCTGCCTCCATATTTGACAAACAAATGAGGCCTTGTCTTGAAACATCTGTCAAATGTATTCCTCATTGTGAGAGGCTTTCACACTTCCAGTCTCATCTCAGCATCTTAGCCCTCTATTATCCTCTATTCAGTTTTCAGCGATGAAAATATAAATACTAGAACAGATAGACCTAATTGATTGAAGCGGTTTTCAGTAAGCTGTTTGTGTAAAAGCTGTGGTCAGATCTGTTAAACCAGATGTGTAAATAATTGCTCAAATTACTGGAAGTGAAATGAGTTAAATGAATTTACCTTTGTGATGTGAATGCAACGAGCTCTATGGTAAAAAGCTTCACATTTGTCACTGTAGGAAAAACACAGGGGTAAGTAATAAAATAAGTGATCTCTTAACGGTCATGGCTTACAGGAACACACCAGAGCAATTATCAGTAATACCTGTGTTTTTCCTAAGACAAGTGAAAATGTCTTCTAAGGAAGGTATACTGTTAAGAAACACTTTATTTGTGCTGTGCTATCAGGGCCAAATATCAAAGCATTCATTAAAAGCTAATATAGTCATAAATGAACAAGAATGTTAAAAATTACCTGTTGCAGAAACTCAATAACTCTTAGATGTAATGCATGCAAACTAGCACTTGTTTAGACAACACTGAAACACTTTAAAACATATTTTTCTTTTATTGACCATAATCATATGGGCCATAATTAGATTAAAAAGCGGGAAGAGTAGCTAGTCAGCTCGCTAGATGTCTCAGATGTTAGTAATAAGCTATTTTGTCAACTAGCACAATAAATGCTGTTGTAGCTAAATAAATAGAAACACGTGATGACAGAAAAATAGATCAAAAGCTTAATGGATGGATAAAGAGATGTACTGAAAGCTCAAAGTATAGGAAAAATACAAGAGACAATAGAAACCTCAAAAGAAAGAAAGCTCAGTAGAGAAATAGGTGTAAGGAGTTGACCTCCAAGTGATTTAAGAAAGCTCAGCAGATATAGGTCACAGATTGCTCAAGACAGATGGACAGACAGAAAACAGATATAAACAAAAAGCTCATTAAACAGATTATAGAAAAATAGCTTAACAGATAGAAAGCTCAATTAATAATTCAGTAGATACATACAGGTAGATACAGTAAACGGATAAAAGCAGCTCAGAAGCTGGACAGATACATTTAAAGGTTGAACTTAAAATCCAAAGTAACTCAGCAGAGTTTAATCTGCTGATGTTAACCTTTCAAAACCCCTGGTAAAATAATGTTTATCTTATTTTAACAGTTTTTTGGAATAAAACTCTACCTTAAGCTTCTGACTTGAAAAACATTGAAAGCACATGCAGCTGCAAATAATGCTTCCAGTAGTGTGGAAAAAGAGCATGTTAGTGAGCAGTGATATGCCAGAAAACTGGGAACATATATAAAATGTGTCTGTGAAACACTTGTGGAAATTTTCCCACTAAAACTTAGTTCAGCTTGACAAAAATTAAAGGGACAGTCCTCTAATTTTACAAATGAAACTCACATCAGGAGGAGCTTATATTTCTTCTTTGGCTCTTGAGGAGATTTCTAATGTTAGGTCATATCAAAGTTATTGTGATAACAAGTTTCCAGCTTATATATAATGGTTACATTAACATCCATGTTGTAAATACGACTGGAAAACTGATACTTTGAGTGTTTTTCCAACTTTATAATATGGAAGTGAATAAATCCAAACATGGTCAGCTTGCATCAGGCTGCCGTTACCATAATGTCAAGAAACAAATTCTGTAATCACACATTCATCTTGATTTATTAAATGATTAACATGTTAATCCTTCCCATCTCTACCAACCATCATGTGACACAAACATGGCATAATCACAACTTGCTTGAACTCCCACTGCTTGTGAGCTCTCCAACCTTTTGGAAGAGCGATCCTGAATGGCTGGAGTGCCCCTTTAACATAAAACCCACATACCTAAAGATCTAATTTAGCAATAAACAAATCCAATTTAAACCACAAACAGGAAGAACGATGTGTTTATGTCATGTTTATACTGGAATTATGGGCAACAGACATATCAGGAATTTCTGACAGTGCAGTCTTTTCCCACTTGGTGAAAACAACTACAAAATTGCTAAGAAAACGTTGGTAAAGGAGCTGGAAAGCCACCATCACTAATTTACCCTATTGATTTTATGCAACTACAAGACTACAAGTTTGTAATCATCTTCTTTGAATTGCCTTTTTTCTGGTTTTAAATACGTGTTATAAAAGGATAAAGATGACCAACTGTCTTACACAAAATTTATCAATCCCTATACACTTGTATTTGTTTAAAAGCTGTTACAGTTGCTTTCCTCTGTGTTTTAACATAATATTGTACTGAAAGGTGCAAACAACTCTATGGTATTAAGAAACAACCACGTGAATGTGAAAGGTCAGATGTAATTCATGTGAAACAAGGACAGCTACAGCAGATTCTCTGTTCTAGTTTATGGAAAACTCACCTGCTTCTCACAGTTCAGGAAGATGTGCAGCAACATTTCATCAACACAAATCAGTGGAAGCAATCTCTAGCTACAAGAAATTTAAAAGCTAATTTTTTGGTTGAATGACAAGGCAATAGAAGAAGTCTTCAACATTCAACTGGAAACAAACACAAAAAGACACATTCAAAATATTAAAGGATCCCTTTATCATGTCAGGATGTGCAGCACACCTGGCAGAATAAAACATAAAGCAGATTTAGTCCAAAGCATCTAAAGTGCCGAGGTTAAACTTTTTAAACTGATTTACACCAGACTGGCACAGTGCATTTAAAACACAGAATAGATCAACAAAAAAATACACAACCAGACATCTATGGACAGTTCCTCCAGGCAGTGATCCCCTATCTGTGTTGTATGTGTGTGTGTGTGTGTGTGTGTGTGTGTTGAGTCCGTTCCATCATGTCCACCCTCAGACATGATGGCAGCTGGTTTGGCCGAGTGTGTGTGTGTATAAACCGCGACAAATAAAATAGGGACCCGTTAAACTGTTAAAAAACCAGATGGAGACGTTTGAGCCATTCATACAGGGAGGTCAGTCTGTCTGATCCAGAGGTCCAGTCAGTCAGGTAATACAGTGGTAAAGCATTAAGAACAGACATGGTCGCGTTTCTGTCGGAGAGTTGAGACAGGTAGGTAGGCTGTGTGTATGTGTTAGGGGGTTCATCCTCTTCTGTTTCTCCTCTCTCCGTCTAGAACAGCTGGATCATGGACTCTCGAGACTTGCCCACTCCGATCCATTTAACTGAGGAAACAGGGAAGCAGAGGCAAGTGTGTCTCTCTACACGTCTTGTAAGCACAACAGACTGTTGAAGCAGTTTGCCGGTGGTCCAGCAGAGGCTGTTCTTAAAATTAAACAATCAACATACAGTAACTTTATGCATGTTCTGGTGACCTAGTAATAAACAAAGCCAAAGAATGAAAATGGAGGAGAATATAAGCAAGCAAAGTTAACTATACAACCTTGTCTGACTGGCCACACGCATCAACACTTGTCAGAAGCTTGTCAGAGGACCATCACAGATAGTATGATTTATATGCAAAGATATGTGGCCTATTGGAACTGATATAACAGGATGTATTTGGGGTGGAATGACAGAACTGGAGCCATAATATGTGCAATACAATCTCAAGATAAAGCAGTGAAGTTATATAACACCACAGAGATCATACTGAAGGGTAAGCCACTTGCCCTGACCACCACTCTGACCAAAAGCAATTTGGGGTTTGCATTTGAATTCATTTGAACAAATTACATTTCAATTTGTGTTTGTTCAAAACTAACCTTGAACAAAGTGGCCACCCTAGTGTACACTCCAAAGAAATTTGCACTCTAGGTGGAAAAGTCAGGTTTACTTTAGTTAGATGATGGTATAGATTTTTGATACAAATCAGGCTGGACACAATCAGATTATCTACAGCATCATTTTAAAATGTTCTTAATAGATTTTCTGTATGTATTCTGTGTATCAATGATGTGTGTGTGTAGTTATACCAGGCACTCCCACATGCTCCTCAATGAAGTGGACATATTTCTGGGCATTCTCAGGCAGTTCCTCAAAGCTTCTAGCAGCCGAGGTGTCGCTGTTCCAGCCAGGCAACGTCTCATACTGGACCTCCACACACTGCAACACCTCCTGATTAGCTGGCATAGAATCAGTGAGAAGAGGTGTTTGGGGGTGGGGGGTGGGGGGTATAAAAATCACACCATGAGCTTTACAGGGCACAGCAATCACACAGCTATGACAACAGATAAATATGTTTCTCTCTTTAATCTGCAAGAAACATCAGTTTACACCAAATGTCAAAAGCCAGTAACTGTGTCATCCACATTTTCCATTTGATACACTCCTGGTTATCAGACTTAAAGCCAAATTCTAATATCTTGCACTTCGACACTCTTTACACCAATACTCTACCCTATCCCGTCAGCAGTTTCAGTGTTATCACCCCATTAAATAGCCATTATCAGTTGCTATTTTGACAATAATTGTGCTTCAGTAGCGGCGAACTGCACCTACCAGTTGGCCTGTAGTTGCATCTCATCAATAGGTTTGGTAATTGGGCGACCTCTAATGGCCATAGTAATTATGACAGGAGCAACAGTCACTTATAAAGAGCCACAAGGAAGGAAGGTTTATGTGAACAGACACTTGGGGGACACTCCTGGTGACAAAGAGCATGGAGTAGGGCATTTGTAACCCTATATCTATGGTCCTGATAACAACTGATAACGGCCTTTGAATGGCATGATATCAGGTGCACCATGATCCCATCTACCTGTGTCTTGAGCAAAAATATGGACAATAGGAAAGAAGGGAACAGTTTTTAACAACAATGTTCATGGCTCTTAAATTATTCTTAATATGTGCTGGGATTTATTTTAACACGTACACAAGAAGTACTTGTTTACACACCAGCTCACCTGGAAAGTAAGGTATAGTTTGGTTCTCGACTTTGTACGCTACGCCCACCTTGATCTCCGGGAACACGTCAAGTATATCCAGTTTGGTGAGTGCTAAACTGGGGGGGGGACAAAGGGGACAACAATGTTGTAAGTGCACACCCACGGAGAACAGAGCTTCTAACTGAATATGTCAACTTATGACCTGTGATAATCTGAGAACAAAGCCTTATTAGGAACACAAAAAAATGAGGCAATGTGTGTTCATTGTGAAGCTACGGCATCTTACTGTAAATAAATAATAGGACTAAATATACTGTTACATTTTGTCAAGCAAAAAAACCAACTCTTTCTCTCTTCTTTTGCAAACTTAGATACAAAAGCTCCATGTGAAACTATATACCTTTACAGCAATATGTATCATGACTGTCTAATAAATGCTTTTGTCAGAACCACTGAAACACACACATAAAACTATGTTCATCAGTACAAACACACATGCACACTAAACTCACGCCGTGAAACCATTAATCGTGTGTGCATATTTGATGAGCACCAGATCCAGCCAACCACATCGCCTCTTCCTGCCTGTGGTCACGCCCACCTCCTTCCCCCGAGTCTGAAGCAGCTCTCCGATCTCCTGAAGACAACGAAATGGGCACAGACACTCCATGTCTTTGCTGCTCTAAGCCTGTTTTTTTTTTTTAATGTGTAAAGACCTTCTTATTATTCTATGTGATTTTAATGATGGTCCAATGAACCAGTTACAGTCCTTAGAAATATTCAGCCATTAAAGATGAGCCCTGCATTCAGGGTTCAGTTTCAGTCATGAGCATGGGTCACAGAAGATTTATTGACCCTGATAAATGAGGTTTACTACAGCTGGTTATTGCTTGCAGTGTAGCAAAACCTCCTCTTGGTGGCACTGTTTGAAAACAAAACTACCCAAGAAGTTCTTTCATCATGTTTAGATCAAGTAGGTGTTAGGTATTTTTGAATATACTGTATTGCTGACAGTATGAGCTGTGAAGGATTCTCTGTACTTACTGTGACAACACACTTACTATCTGTCTTTGAAACTTCCATATTGTGTGACAGCTTTACCCTTTGTAAAAACACGATTTAAAGAACAGCACTGATGTTTCATGTTTGCATGTGGATGGGCGCTGTAAGTGACTCTGTCGTCTTACGTTGCTCTGCTCTGAGGGGAACGCTCCGATGCCCACTCTGGTGGTGTACGCCTTCACAACCCCGTAAACCTCTCCGACGTTCTGAGGTGGCATACCGAGACCTGTACACACCCCGCCCACCGTGCAGTTGGACGATGTCACAAATGGGTACGTCCCTGCAATGACACAAGGAGTGTGTTTACCTACAGCGATGTGACCTTGATAAGGTGAGCAGTTTCCTGACAAGGCACTGTGTTGACATAGCACATATGTTTGTTTTAGTATTTATCATTATATAGTTGACTGACTCATCCAGCTTTGACCTTTCCTAAAGCTGAGAACTGCTGATGTCACGCAGAAGATGGCACCATGATGTACTCTGCAAGAGCAATGCTCACGCTGTGCAATGGAAACACCAATGTGTATTGGTGCCAGGCAGCCAACAGCGGGCCACCTGATCTGAGCATGGGACTGTTCTCGCTGGCAGTGGAATGACTTCTCAATAACTGGGCTAACTAAAAAGAAAGAATCACTCAACCCTCAGTGAAGTTGAAGGCAAGTCTACTGGTCTGTCTTCTGTGTAACCATACCTGAGGATGTCCCTGAGGTGATAATCACTTACAAGCTGACACAAACACTAAATAAACTCTGTGTATGATTTAGACAGCATGTTTCAACTACTGTCATTTAAACAAACAAGGATTGAGTTTCCATGCCTAGATGCTGGAAGCTGCTCCCATTCAGATCATCCGAGTGTTCAGAGAGATTGCTGTGTCATCAGAGACCAGGTTCGATCTCTGCAGCAGTCAGTGGCTCCATCAGCATAGTGTCATAGTGCACTGATGCTCTACATGCTTCCAGATTCCTACAAGAGTGATAATATTGCTAAAGTAAGGTCTAGTACGATTGTGACATTTGCTACAATTTAGAGTTATAGCGATAATCAGCGTTGAAGTTCAACTGTAATTTTATTCTGACTGCTGACACAGGGTGCAGCAGTGCTCATGCACAGTCAAGAGGCAACGAGTGGTTTTAACTTGTGAGCGTGCACACCAAGCCGGGATGCCAGAGCACATCAGTAACAGTTAGCAAACTTACCATCATCCCTACTCTGAGCTCCAAGCTGGCTTTTGTAAAGAGCATCACAAAGCTTAAGTGTTTAGAAATGACATTCCTTCTCAGAGGAAACGTTCAGAGACAAATGGAAAATTTATAGAACTGAACAGCTAATATAGGATATACTGACCAAAGTCTATGTCCAATAGAGCTGCGTTGGCTCCTTCCACCAGGATCTTCTTAGGAGGTCCATGAAGAGCCTCATACATGTAGTGCACGCCATCTCTCACCATGGGCTTGATCTGGTCCACGTAGTCCTAGAATCATATACCATGCAGCATGTTACTGCAACAGGGACAGTATACTCAAACTTTCCATGAACATTTCTTATCTTTTAGTTGTTATTACCTTTAATTTGACCAGCTCTCCCTCTAGGTCAATCTCCAGAGTGGGGTACATTGCCTTGTACTGCTGGGCCAATACTTTATACCTGTAACAGGCAACGTGATCCATTTGAACATTTTTAACTGTGAAAATTAGGCAAATATGCCCAATAATGGAAAAGCCTTTCTTTTTTCTTTGCAGCGTGAACACTGTATTTCTTCTTCTGTGTCATTGCTGTTGTTAAATCCTGTCTGTGAGCACTATGAATTGTCGTGCAGTGTCATGGCTTGCAATAAGCCTTGAAATTCACTGATCTGTTACTCAAACTGGAACTGCTTGGGTCATATTTCAAAGCAACTCGCAGACATCAGTGCAGCCCCTTGTGTTGTTTCCTCGCAGGGCTGTTGTCAGTTTTAATGGACCTGGGTTCTTCTGGTAAAAATGTAGATAATGTTTCTTGGAAATATCCGTGGTTGAAACAGGAAATCAAATGAAGCTAGTTAAAATGCAGGTAAAGTTTCTGAGTTTCTTGATTCAAGGAAATTTCTCAGTGATGGAACAGGGCTGAAAGGCAATTACATTATTTACAGACTTCAGTTAATGGTGCCCAGTGGTCCTTGGGGAGCATTATTGTTAGCACACTGAGCAAATTAACTCAAATACAGATGTCATTACAAGCCCAGAGATATAATCCTGCACTAGTGGAACAGACCTTTCAGAGAACTGAGTGAAGTCAGATAGCAGGTCACATATCCTGAGACCGCTACGTGCCGCCTTGGCCGAGTACACTGGACCAATCCCCTTCTTTGTTGTCCCCAGGCTGGGTAGCATTGAGAGACAAGGGAAGGAAAAATAAAAATAGAATAAGCATCAAGACGTGATCTTAACTCACAAAAAGTTCATGTAACTATTGTGGCTGGACTTTGGACCTGATGTGCCAGAGTGATGGAACTGTCACTGAAATGTGGGCAAATTACAGCAACCATAGGATAAATCAGATGCTGAGGGTTGCTAACTGAGAACTGTGTGTAAACAACAGAATCATTACATGAACAGTCCGATGCTAATACAGTACATGTTTAATGTCGAACGACCAAAAACCATTTTCTGCATTTCAACATGCTAGTAAAACTAAGTAATAGAGAAGTACTACTCAAATAGCAAGTTGAACTACAGCAGCGAACCGTTTCCACACGACACACTCAAAATCTACTTCTTGCATCTTGGCCTATTAAAAGGAAAGCCTGGCACAGCTAAATTTGCTCACCCCACACGCAAACTACAGGATGGAAATAGCCATATAACTTCTATGGCTATCAGGTTTCATCACTAGCAGCAGCCTGAGTAAAACATGTAGCATCCAAGCACCATGTGTACTCAGTGCATGAGTGAGAGTTTTTCAGACTTGATGCCAGTGGTGGAAGAAGTAGTCAGATCCTTAAATGTAGCAATAAAATAAAAGTACACAGTTAAGTGGCTCCCAGTGTAGGGATCTGACCGATCTGACCCCTCTAAAAGGTTCACAAGAAAGGGGCTGGGTACAAATAAATCTCTTGCTACACAGACTTGTATATTTTTTCATTGCTTTTGAAAGAAAATACTGGGATAAGTTGACCTTTTGAAAACAGTTATTTAGAGGGGAAATCACCCCTTGGTAGAACTGTTCATGTAAAATCTTAATTTGAAATGTCTGATAACTACAGCTGCTACATCACTGAAGTATAGAGTAATATCCTACATTAAGATCAGAGTTGTCTGATCTGACTCTGGCCTCCAGTGGCAGAGCTGAGGATGGCTGGAGATCCTGCAAATCCACCAGCCTCTCTAGCAATCTGTAGGAAGCTTATGATGACTGTGCCATTAAGGCACCCTGGTGAAAATACATTCTCTCTTTCTACCACACACACGCACACACAGTAGCTGGCTGGGTGTTTGGGGCTTTAGTTGCTGAGCTGATAAAGATAACCCAGCTCTCAATAGGAATGCAGTGATTCTCTCTTGCGCTTAATGTTTTGACTGCTGCTCGAGCTCGGCTTAACATTCCTCACACACTGTACATCAGTTTGACTCAGTGCCTGGGTGAGTAGTGCATAAGAAACAAGTGTTTTAAAATGGTGTGGAACAAAACAGACTACAGAAGACCTGGATTTATGTTTTCTTTGTAAAGAGTCTAAAAGGCTTCTTTAGTCTTTTTGTGATGAAGTCCTGCTACTGTGTCTTTCTCTGCTGGAGTGCTGCTACATTCTCTGCCTGTCTGCCCCTCTGGCGTCTCTGCAGACACCTCCAGGCAGAGCTATGTTCAGATTATATGCATGTATGTCAGCTGATGTGAACATAGTGTGGGAACATAGTGCATGTGTGTGCGCACTGCAGCCATTTTAAAAGCAACAGGTTTCTTACTTCTTGCCTGCTTGCTCTTGCCTCTGCTGTTCCTGTACGCCATCAACCGCTTGGTGGAAGTCAAACACTGCGAAGGAGGGAGAGAGGGGACACACACTCTCACACACCTCAGAGAAAGCAAGGCTCACACGTCCACACACACAGTTCTGCACGCACCCATTCAAACATTCACGCGTAGATTTAAAAAAAAAAGTCCAGGAGCAGACCTGGGAGGACTTACCGATATGTGCTCTGTCTGAGATGATCAACCTTTTCTCCCAGTCTTTTAAACCTACACACACAAAAACATGTTGATTCTCCAACAGCTTTGTTTTGCATGTTTTATTATCTGTGTGTGCACGCATCACTCACTTTTTCCTTTGCGTTCATTCTTTTTTGCCTCTTCAAACAGGCCTGGAAGGTGGATCACTACACCATTGCCTGAGTAAATAAAACAGAACTATTCTGAGTTTGATGGCTGGGTTTTAGAGATGTGCCTGTTTCATATAAATTCACGAGGACTGTGCCTGGGCCTGCACGTGGTGCCTTTCAAGTATCAAACACACAATGCCAATTCATCCTTAGACACAACTGGCTCGAACAATGTCTGCTCATAAGAAAATTGAAACATCTGGCTCTAATTATCTTTTTAATTGGGCTGCATTACATGAAGGAGCTGAGGTAATTACTTTGACCAAATTAAATGTAAGAAATGTGGGAGAAGGTTAAAACACAATAAACTTTCTTTCAATGACACTGTAGGAATGAAATATAGGAACTGCAGATAAAAAAAACCATTTGCAGCTGAAGAATAAGAACAACCTGAACACACACTTGCTTCATGTTGCTGGAGGGCACAAATGTATTTCTTTACACAGTAAGGGAAATACATTTGTGCCCTCCAGCAACAGTAATGATGTCTCTATTCTATGAGTTGTAATTGTTAATGTTTGTCAGTAGGCTAATGCTAAGTGCTGCAAGAGAAATCCTTGTGACGTGAACAGCTCAGAAAAAGCTTCTTGTGGAAAAGGTGAAATGAAAAATGTTGAGAAAACACAAACAAGTCATTGATCATGTAGTTGTAGAACAAGTGAACTAAAAACTATGGCTGCAATTAAAACACCATCAATCCAAGTGCATGTCACACTGGACACACCCTGCCGCAAGTCTCTCAAAGTGTCTGAGCTGGCAGAATAGCACTGATGTGTCATATATCAAAAAGGAGAAAGCAGAATGTATCCACAGACCGTACAACTGTCAATGTTAAAGTGCGAACGTGTGGAGGGTTAGGAGCCAGAAAGAAAGTAAGACACCATTAGCTAATGAAGTTCCTGCAGATGAGTGAATGGGATGTAGCCTACAGCCTGGCTCTGAGTCAGGCTGGATGTATTCACTGTAGCAGTCATCAAAACGGAGGCTGTGACAGTGACAACGGCAGGCTAACATGAGTCTCTATAGCGAGGAAAGATGGCCTTGGCACTGTGTGTAATAATGTGTGATCGCTTCAGTGGTAGACTGCACAAATGTGAAACTAAGTGTTTGCATCTGTGTGCATTACACACCAATGAAGGCGGTGACCTTGGGGTTGATGATGCCGCTGGGAAGGAGGTGAAAGTCATACTCCACTGAGTCAACCACCACTGTGTGTCCTGCGTTGTTGCCGCCCTGCAGAGAAGAGACAGAAACACGGAGAGGCGTGAGCTGGATGGGAGCTCTGCAACTTTGCTGGGTGGAGCTGGAGGAGAGGCTGAATAGTTGGCGAGTAGCAACAAGCACCATGCACCAATCCACTGTCTGTTAGTACAGATCTCAAGTAAAGGTTGCACTCCAGTGTAAACGTACTGTCATGTATCAGCAATGAAAAGTACAATGGACTCTTGGTGCCACAGATTACACATGATACTGTCCTGTCAAGACTTGTTGCTCCCAGTGCCAACACCCAAAAAACAACAAAAAAATTGTAGGATACACTGTTTATAGTCAGTCAGTGGGAAATTATATTAAACATTTTTCACTATTTTGTGCATTTTATAAACAAAACAATTAATCAACTGATCGAGTAAATCATGGGCAGATGAATGGATAATGACAGTGATCATTACAGCCCAAATCCTGTACAGTATATATATATTTATTCGAAGATTACTCAGAAAAAAAAAATCACCACTTGTTAATAAAGCCATTTATCCTTCCAGATACTGGAGTAACACATGCATAACGTTCGAAGGAGTTTAAAGCTTAATAAGAGCTGTTCAGTACTGAATCAGCTTTATGCTGACACGGCCACTGATGAATGGGACCAAAGTTTTCAAACAGGCAAAGACTACCAAGTGTATAAAATACTGACAATATGTGCTTCCTGGGTGCTAATCTGGATGCTTGATATGGATATATAATATTCCATAATAATGGCTAGCAAATATCCGCCCCTCAGTCCCCTGAGATGTTGTGTTGCTAGACACACACCCTTCCTTCCACTGTAGCCCCATCTGTTACTTCTAGGACTGTAAGGAACACCAAGCAAGGCTGCTGGCAAAGCCTATTTTATAAAAAGATCAACACGATCTGCTCCAGCATGTCACAGATCACAACACGTCATCAAGTCCCCAGCAAACATACACACACCATCACGTAGGGAGGGGATGCTGTGCAGGACTGCTGCCAGGAAGTGGTTTATTTTACACAAAGTTCTGATGCTCTCTCAAGTCAGCATGGTACCAGCAGAGACAACAGGCTGCTGACCTCCACAGAGACTGGCTGGATTATTAAGAAGGCTAAGTATGGTGGTGTTCAGAGAGGCAGCAACTAGCAATCATTTTCATTACTGATTATTTGGCAGCTTTAATCTAAGATATGTCAATAGGAAGCAAAAAAAAAAAAACAAAAAAAACAACAACAAAACAAAAACAGCCAATTATAATTTCCCAGTGTGTGCAAGGCTGTACTGCACAGCAGAAATCTGAGCAACTATTTGGAGTAAGAAAATTCTGTCTCCTAAATTTCCTTAGTCATGTATGAGTAGATCAGTTTGCTTCTCCAGTCAGAAAAGTCTTTAATTACAGTATATTCACAGACTCTGTATCAGGGAAAACGTCACAGAAATGACTGAGTCTGAGAGCGCTGAGGTTCTGAAGTCTGTTCAGCAAAAGTAGGAAGTGCTCTGCAGTTAGCCAAAGTAAACTCAGCTGAGTTATTCACAAATGTTTGGTTGCTCAGACACTGACTACTGCCAAAACATAAGGTCCAGACTGACCAAATATACTGTATTCAGTTATATCAGGACGCCAAATATGACCACACTTCAGTCATGTGCAGTGGAAAATGGAAAACATGTCAGTGTGTGGCTCTGGGCCATCGCAGCAGATAATTTCCAAACATTTCAGCCAGGGATTCAGTCCTCCCTCGACTGCTTTCTCTCACCTACTCCTGGTCACAGGGACAGGAATTCTTCCAGTACACCCCTGGCAAAGAGCAGACAAAGCCACGACCATGTCACAAGTGCAACACACCGACCCATGCCATCTCTGTCGCCAATTCGACTGTTTTACAAGCACATGCAAATTCAGCACACAGCAGGAGTTAAACCACTGAGCCAACATGCTCATTACTAAAAATCACAGCCAGATGAAATAAAATAACAATAACTGCAATCACTGAAAGTGTTGCAACTGTGCTAATTGCTACATAATGACATTCACATGTCTCTGTAAGTTTTCATCAGGGGTCACCAAGATAAACTGAAGGCTTTTTAAAACATCTTTCATACCACATACTGTGGACTGCAATCTAATGCCCATCTCACCATCAAACCTCCCAAAGTATGATGGAAACCAGACAGAACAATTTAGCCCAGAATTATTTATTATTAGTGTATATCACATTTCTTTCACTACTTCCCTGCAATATTTAACAATAATGCCTAATGACATCAGCTCAGACCAAGGTAAGTGGCATAAAGTGGATCAATGTATTAACCATGTCTGCATGCTAGAGTCAGACAGGGAAGTCAAAAAGCACTGAGAGACAAACACATGGTTGGCATTTTCATAGGAACTGGTAACAATAAGAAAAATATAAAACAACCTTATCTTTAAAAGAACTAGCTTGAGGTAGAATTTTCCACAACCTGACCACCCAGTGCTTATTATTGGTCTATAACTTATCTATTAAACATTCCAACACTCCTGCAATCACAACTTTGCAGAGTCAACCATCTTCAAATGTTGTTTTGTTTTCCCAAAAATCAAAGCACACAAAAAATGCTTAGGGAACAATGACACGAGGAAGAAAAGCAGAAATCGTTCTCATTTCAGACTGTAGAATTCTGAGAATATTTGGCACAGCTTCACCGTTTTTCAGGAAAATGGCCTGAAATGATTAATCGGTTACCAAAATAGCTGGTGGAGTGACTGATTCATTGATTAATTGTTTCAGCTCTGCTTATAACTGATCTAGAATTGATTTCAGAACCATTAATAAAGTAACTAATAACAGCTTATAGCTAGTTAGCAGAAAGTGGCACCCTTGAAAGTAGCCTATGTCGCCTTCAAAACAATATGTAAACCATCAGGATACTGCAGTAACCACAATCTCTGGTGATACAAAGTAATTATACATGTCGTGTAATGAGCTGTTCAGTCAAATCGATCCAACCAGCTGTCAACATCAGTCGAGTGCTTTTAAAGCGGGGTTAACGGCGCTAACGGGGGCGAGTCAAGTCCCTCTGAAGTGATGCACCCGTTTGCAGGTAACAACCTTGTCATGTGCACACAACAGCATGACAATTCATTTTATAGGTGTTTGAAGAGCTAAGCAGCTAGCAGGGACTCAAGGTGACATTAGCAAAACACCGAGAACAACACTGAGATGTTTGGTGGCTAGCAGAGCGTTAGCATGCTGGACCCGACCCCCAACTTAACATCGAGGAGAAGCTGTGTTTTGGCTAGTGAGCTGCCGTTTACCTGCGGGATTTCCGGTAACGTGCTAAACCAGTAATGGACGCATAACAAGTGAACGCAGCACGGGGGCTAACCAACCTGACATCTGCACACCATATCCGCGTCTTGTGCCAGCAGATCCACAACTTTCCCCTTTCCCTCGTCTCCCCATTGAGCCCCCAGCACCACGGTGACTTTGTTACCGACAGCCGGTCTAGGTGCCCGCTTCGTCGGGCTGTCGCTGCCGTTCGCGGCCCCTGCAGGTTCCTGACTCCCACTTTCCGACATTTCTGCTGGGTCCCTACGCTCTCAGCTATCCTTTAGCGCTGCGCTGCTGCAACAAGGATAGCTGAGAGAAAGCTCCGTGAAGGGGCACGGCTTTGAAGTCAGCTTCCCATTCGACAGGGGAAATTAACGGAAAGTTAAATGACTATATTAAGCCACCAATCCTCCGTTCCTATCCACATATTGCTGTGAATCATCGTAGTTAAGTCGGTTGAAAGCCCATTTTCTGTACTACATTAGTTAGACAGCATAAAGAATAATAAAATTGCAGCTTCAGATTTGTGCAACCTCCATTTTGCATGTGAAACCATAAAAATGATTATTTCATTACTTTCACCCCAGACCACACTGGATTAGGTCCAGATCAGAAAGCCCTGTGGCCTTCCTGGACTTGTCAAACATGGACTAGATGAATCCACAGAAGCTAAAAACAAACATAGTTTTTGATTTGTGAAAGTAGTTCACCGCTTTTCCCCATCCAGACCACATTGGACCAGGTTTATATCAAAAGCTCTTGTCAAATCTGGACTATAACAGGGAAATACTTTTTAAAACACATGCCTGATTTCTGATTTACAACCAATGTATTAATTTGTGAAAATATGCCTTTTTCCTCATCCACATCAGTCACAGTTTTTAGATTTGTCAAATACAGACTAAATTTCACTTAACATACGTCTTAGCTATCGAACTGGAAGCCAACTTCGGCGTCGTGTCAGTGATAGAAACTCACTCCAAGGCAACATAGACGCGAGGAAGTAACACACTCCGCGCATGCGTACACAAGTCTGACATTACATTCATACTGTACATTTACAATAGGCTAAGTGTGAACATACTGTAAAAAAAAGCTAAGTCTATGCTGCTGCAGCTTTACATCTCAGTCACTTTCAGCCTTAATGTGGATGAAATAAAACGACTGTGTAGCCTACAACACAGGCTAGTGCAACTTTATAAACTTAAAGTTCCTGACAACTGAAGTGAATCATCTTGATCACTTGTGCCCTACCACCCTCCATCTTGTAATTATCTACAGAAACGTGTTGCTGTAGTCTGAGAAACCATATTTGATTTAAGTGAAAAAGAACAACAGAATATATAAAAACTGACAGTTCCAAACCTCAGCGCGACTGCACAGCCAGCTGTGGCCTAAAGGTCATGTCATTGCAGTCTCTCTATGATAGTTTAGCCTATTACAATATGCTCTAGTCATTAACAATCATTTAGCATGCACAGTTGTACAGAAAGTGAGGTTTTGTTTTTGCACATTATCGACAGTTTTATACAATATGCATGATGTGGTGTCTGTCCCAGGTCAGCGTTTCCAGGGGTAGTGAACGGGATTATAAGAACGAGCGACAAGAGATGTGTACAACAGAGGACATTTTTCCAGAGTGGTGAAACAGGTTTTATGTCCTCATCATTTATCCTTAAATGTGCTGCCTGTGATTTCCAAGTATTTTGTAGGCTTAGTCAAAAACTGCATTTATTATCTTTTTTGTATTGTTTATTTGGATCCACATTAGCAAATATAAGGATCAGAAATTAAATAACTACACATAGACACATTTCCTTTTTTCAAATGCTATGTCACAAACCACAGTAGATTTTATATCTTTGTCCTTACTGAAGACTTTACCAGTCTCAAAAAGCAGATAATTCAGACGTCAAAAACACTGCTCTGTTTTCTCTCGATGGGCTGCAGATATTTAAACACAGCACACTCACTTGTGCTCTGTTAGACTATTAGATGTGTTGCATCTTCAATGTTTTGACTCCCTCTGGTGGTAATCAGAAATACATGCACATGTTCTATTGCTCACATAACAGATGTCTGCTCTATATGATGCTGCACCTACATGGCGCCACTCCTTTAATGATGATTCAATACTGGGAAATGATGTATGACACAAAGAATGTTTCTGAAAGCACAATACAAAATGTCAAAAAATGGAAAGTAAAGAGTGATTATCCTATTAATTTTTTTTACCTTTTGAGGCAGATTTCTTGTTATTGTCTGTGTCTGCTGCACAGTGCCAGCTACAGCTCACACATCACGACTGCCCTTTCATCCCTGTTGAGGCCAGTGTGGAACAGGTGGTCAAGTGAGTGGATTAAAAAAGGAGCACAGAAAGCAGTGGGCTCAGGTCACAACTCAGCATCCTATTTTAAAGGTCTTATTATGTTTTATTTGCAAATAATATTTTTGATAGCCTACTCTATTGCAGACAAACACCAAACAAACAAATCAACTGACATAAAATTATTTAGCAACTACTGTACACTGATAATTTTCATTGTCAGTTTTCATGTAAACATGCCAAGCATTTCCATCTTCTTAACTGTGACAATTAGCCGTTTTACCTTTAAATACATTTAAAATTGTTCTAATAGTCTAATTTCTAAACTCTGGACTATTGCTTGGCCAACAAGCCACATATCTCTTTAGGCTATGGGTAATTGTGAAGTCATGTCTTACTATTTTCTAAATGTTCACAAACCAGATCAACTAATTAATCAATTCAAATAACCATTAGTTGCTTTACAGTTAACCATTAGTACGTTACTACTAGTAAAAGATCGCGATACTTCCACCGTCTCTGTCCCTCCTCTGATGCCTATACTTGATATTGTCCTGTAGGGGGCAGTAGATACCCGACATGCGCACTACAGTTTGTTTGTTGTTATTTCCCTAGCTTGTTAGCTAGCATCACAGAGAACCGACTCTGGGAAATCTCTTATTGGTGTTACTTACGTTTATATTAAAATGTCTATTCCGTTACTTCTCAGGGTTTTCATAAACGAGCGACTAACAGCCGCTGCCGATGAAATATTTCAGGTTTTTGAAGCAACAATAGCAAAATATGAAGAAGACGTTTGTAACTCCAAACAGGAGATTGAACGCCTCAAGAGTCTGCTACAGGAGTTTGTGTCGAACCAGAAAACAGGTCAGTGTAGACATTTTTAGAGTCTTATATATCAACATTATGTGCGCATATTGTCTGTATTTTCCGTAAATATACTCACTGTTGTGATATTTGAACTGAATGAACCTCATGAATCAAGTTAACTCTTGTTGAACTTAAATTAGCGATAGTTCATTATCAAGCGTTTGGTTATTTTTGTCACTAAGAAAGTTGGTTAATAAACTAAGTTAATCAGTTCAACACACTTGTTCTCTAAGTACTCGAGTACCTACGTGATACAATAAAAATAACACTTTATTTAGCACGTCTGAGCAGTATGCAAACAGTAACATATATAATGTACAGTACACTATAATGTAGTTTTATTACACAGCTTGAAGACATTTTAGGTGCTTTATTTTTGTACAGTATTTCTCAAAAATTTTAATTTCTGTGAAAACAATTGATGTTATTACAACAGTGTTTTGAAATATTATCAATTAAGTTTGGTGTAACGTGAATATTTTGGAATGTTGATTAAAAAATACATTTGAAGATGATGTTGGAGAATTTTATAAACTTTTTTTTTTTTTTTTTTTTTTACTATTTTTACCATTTTTACTATTTCCTGATGTTAAACAGTTGTTAAAATAATCAGCAGATTAATCAGTAATTAAATTAATAATTAGTTGCAGCCCTAATCGAGGTGTTAATATTGATAACTCTCTGGCAGTATTCACAGCTTAATCACTATTTTGGTGATAAAACTGATAAAGAAATAAGAATGAAAAGGATGCATCAGTTATTTTGTTTTTTTCAGACTCTCAATCATCCATCTGTAAAGAGGAAAGTACCCCTGAGCAGGAGCAAAGCGTCGGTATTAGTCAGAGAGACCCAGAGCCTCGGCACATTAAAGAGAAAGAGCATGAACTCTTGGCTAGTTGGCAACAAGAGGAAGGACAGGCACAAGAGTATAAGGAAGCAGATGACTTACACCTATCTCATTCATCTGTCTGGGAAAAGAATGAGCAGGAGTACATAACACTGACTTTGCAACCTCACACTGAAAACAGTGAAAGTGTGGAACAGTTTCAGGAGTTGGAGGAAACTAAAGGTGAAGAGTTTATGCTGCCTCTCATGTCAACTCTATCTGCACAACCTCAGATCCACAATGAAACAATCCAAGGTGTCAGTGAAGGTGAAAGATCTGCTGCAAGTTTTTCATCAAACCAAACACAGACAGAACTAAACCAGAGTTGTTTGATCACTTCTGGGAAATCCACTGATGTAGCCCATTTGAATTCATTTGCACCCGACTGTCATTGCTATTTATGTGATAAATTATTTTCCTCCAATCAACACTTGATAAGTCATGCCTTCCACATGCATTCAAAGGATGCAGGTGTCCTCTGTGTTGTCTGTGGAAATACCTTGGAGTCCACTGAGAGTCTTATTGTGCATCTTAAATCACACAAGGGCTCAAAATGTTGTCATGTGTGTGGCAAACACTGCAACAGCGCCACTGCCATGGCTGAGCATATGACCCGCCACACTGGGGTGAAACTGCACCACTGTCATGTTTGTGGGAAAGGGTGCAGTCAGAAAGGAGATTTGAAGATACATATGAGGATTCACACGGGCGAGAAGCCTTTCAGCTGCTCTTACTGTTGTAAAAGGTTCACCCACAGCGGACACCTGAGGAAGCACCTGAGAAGCCACACGGGAGAGAGACCGCACTGGTGTGAAGTCTGCGGCAGAGGATTTTTACAGAGTGTGCACTTGAAATACCACTTAGGGACTCACACTCAAAAATATTGACTTTTTCATCCACTGTGGCCTGTATTTATTAAACTGTAGAAGAGCAAACAGGAGTAAAAATGAGCAGTAAGACGCCTACATATGTGCTCTATTGCTTATTCTTACATTAAGCTGAGAAATATGTTTTAAGATTACTATAAATTTACTATGCAAGTTAAATTTGCTTGTCCGAAATCTTTAATATCCACTTAAAATATTTGAATTTGATAAAAGAAGAAAATGAAACTGGAGAAAGTTTTCTATTTGTGTAGCTGGTTTTCATTAAAAAAAATCATAAGGACAGTTTAGGGACACTGACAAGTGCAGACAGTGAAGATTCATGGGAAGTGTTAACCAAAACCAATACCAGCTTTATTTGTGTCGTTTGCACCCCTGACAAATGAACATTGTCACAAATGTAAACAGTGGACTAAAACTAGCGTATTGTAAATTATACCCATTGTTTTGTAATGGTGTCATCTAGATCATATTCTTGACCTACCTGAGAGATTTGTGGAGGCCTCTTAATTTTATTTATTTTTTTTTCTTTTATCTGTGACTGAAGTACAAAATATTACTGTTTGATAAATACAGGCCCTGAGGTGGGCGGTGCACATTACTCAATAACAACAGTGTGCTTTTTTCCCCCCCAGTACATTTTCAGTAATATCATTGCTGTTAACATCAATAAACAAACTGCTTTTGCTTTTGTAATTTTGTTTTTATATGACAGAATTTGAATTATGTTAACTCTCTGTGTGTGCTGTTTGTTGGTTTAGCTCACACATGTTGTATATAGAAGGTAACAAAAACTAACTGGAACATGGTGCATGTTTTTTTTTTCCACCATGATTTATCAAGCTTTATGCAACAGGTGTGCAGCAGCTTGTCTCCTAGACTTAGAAAAACTGAACATTTCATAGCTGGTGCTTTTCTGCTTGTTCTATTCCACAAAGTTTTAATGAGTAACTTTGTCGGCTGTGTATAATCTTAGAGGTATATGATGCACCGCTAGGTGGCACTGTGGGGGCTTTTATGTGTCACTATCCTGCAAGACAGTGCTGGCAAACTACTACAGGTTTTAAAAAGTGTTTTTTCCCATAGACTTTTGAAAACAAGGTCAGGGGGGTAATATTCTGTGCAGTTAAAATATGTGAAACATACTTGAGGTAATTTGTGGGATTTTCTTTATGCGGGTCAGGTTAACAAAGGATAACAGGGCTTACATGGGCAGTTTTTTTTTGTGTCTCTCTGAAAAAAGACATTTTTCACCCACATGCTGTTTCAAAGAATTTTGCTGGAACTCAGCAAATGTCAGGGATTCCAACAGCCCTCGGTTGCATGAGTGGGTCATTGAATTACTCTCCATCCCGCCCAGTCAAATTTCTGAGCTTGACTGAGTGATCTTAATACAAATGTAGAGCCAGATGAGGATAGAGGTGATCCAGAGGAGTTTGTGGTGTAAATGAGATGGATGTAGGGGGATCTTTGACAGGATTTAGTGTTTCAGAGAACAGCAGACATCTGGTTGACATCTTCTGGAAACGGAAACATAAACACACAAACATAACAATAAGCAAGGTACTGTGTAATGGAAATAAGTTGTTGGACAAGCTGGGCGTTCCCAGAGTTCTTTTCAAATTGCTTTCATTATTTTCGCCCATCACTTTAAATGTGAGACAGTGGAAGGACAGGCTTTCAGACAGGACCAGGAACAGTGGTGCTGTTGAGGGTTTTTATATTGTAGTCCATTTAATCACATTCCTGCAGTAGAAGTGTGATATCCGCGGTGTAAACGCAAAGACAGTTTGTTCTGTGGAAAACCTTGAAGAAGGCCAGGTAATATATTTTCCTTATTATTTACTTTGTATTGCTAATCCCATTATATACAAATCACATAAAGGACGTGTTGAGGAGCTCGGCTATTAAAAGCAGAGAGAATGAGTGACAGTACTGCTACAGTTTTGGCCATGGGAAGGTTTCCAGCACAGTTGTTTCCTCATACCTCCTCACACTGCTCACTGAACTGAAGCCTCCCTTGCCATCTGTTACCTTATTTAGGCAGTACAGTTTACTAAATGATTTTAGCTAGGGACATGATTAACTATAAACAACGCTTAGAGCCAAGGCAGCTCACTGCCATTACACCTGAAAGCAATAGTCCCATGATAATTTGACCCTCATAATATAATTCATTGACTATGAAAACCTACCTCTAGCATTTGGAGTCATATTAATATCATTATTAGTTTGAAAGTTGTTCAAGAAAAACAGTATTTCAGTAATGGCAGTGTCCTTCAGGATCTAGTTCAGTAACTTTTGAAGATATGTCATGTCAGTTGACACCACCTGCATCAACACAGTTTTAGCTACAGTTTGATCTTAGTTGTGTGTCTGTAGCACTGTTTGTTGTCTCAAAGTAGCGGCTTTTCCTTGAGCACGATAAATTTGAACATTCTGGATTAGCAGATCAGGAGTATTACTTGGATCCGGATCATACGTTGGTATGTGCTGGATCTTATGTGGATGTTGTCTCACAATTTTTGTCTAAGCATTGTAGGTATTGTGTGTGGAGTTAGAAGCAAAATTACTGAAGTTGGCCCTAACTCACAATGGTGGAGAATCCTTTAAAATAATTCCTGGATCCAGATGATGATCCAGATCAGCACCAAAACCTTATGGATTGTTCTGTGGGCCATAACCCTACCTCCATCTATCCATCCATTATCTACACCACTTATTCCTGACAAGGGTCACAAGAGAACTTGAGCCAATCCCAGCTGTCATTGGGTGAGAGGCGGAGTACCCCCTGGACATGTCACCAGGCTATCACAGGGCTGACGCTTAGAGACAGACAGACAACCACACACACGAGCTTTGGCAGTGGTACAATTGGAATACAAGCCTATGAAAAGTATCCTTTCTGTCTTACAGGTCTCCTTTTGAAGAAGGACACTTTTAAAATCCATAAAGTTAGGCTAATGAGAAAACCATCAATAAGAAAGCTCTTATCTATCCATTTCTTGTTTTCATTCAGTTAGCTGGTTCATGCTGATGCCTAAAGGTTTGTCTTGTAGACATACAGTACAGTACCGTAAATATTGCACAACTCACTTCCTCCCTTGTTCTCACAATGATTGTCCCCAGATCTTAAGAACAATCTGGGGACTGCCCTCCCCTTAAACAACCACTGTTTGTTCAAGGATCTTATTTGATTGTTAGGTGAATCTAGCAGCCATAGTAATTATGAAGGGAGCAAAGTGGCAAGCCAGCATATAGACTTATTTTAATAATTGTTTTCCTACAGTATCCACTAAGATGTAAACCCCGATCATCTGTATTTAAATGTTGAGCTCTCTGCGCTCTCCATCCACCCTGACCGCTTCTCTACAACTTGCATCTAGCAGAAAATGTAGCAAGTTCTTCAAACAAAATAAAATAGCAACAACAAAAACAAACAAGCAAAAAACAAGTTAAATTCAGCCACATTTTGGTAAAACTCATTTGTATCAAAATGACATTTATAGGAGGCAGGGTTCCTCTGACTGCTCCGTGTGCTTGACAGCTGATCAATAAATGAATGACTGGGTGGTGGTACACTGATGGTTGTGAGAGGTGATGGTGTGGGAAGGACCATAGTCCCCTCTGCTACACCTGTTTTGTTCCATTTCCTGTACTTTATCTGCATTGGCAATTCATCTGAATTGCCTGTCAGTTGTAGTGATGCTGCAGAACCACTGAGTGATTTGTTGCATGAATAAAGAGTATGTCCTCTATCACTGACTGGCTTTAGGCTCTGGGGCATGTTTTTAAAATATTACAATCTGGTGGTTTATTTGTAAAAATAAAAAAAAAGAACCAGCTGGTCTGCTATTTGTGGGAATCTGGACCAGTCACACAGCCCTGCAGCACATCTCTGTGCCAGCTGCATGAAGGTGGAGATTGTTGAGTTTTGCAGCAGAATGAGAGGAGAGGAAAACAGATGACTGCATGCATGAACATTGTTGCCTACAAAGTGACGTGCTGCTCAGATGTGAGGGCATCGCAGGTTGTATGAGGGTAAGTCTGTGTTTCTTCTATGTTAATCACTGATAGATAGTAAAGGGCTGTGTTCAGACTGCTGACACAGCTTGGAAAAAATACAGAGCCCCAGGGTTAGGCGCCACATGTGTTTCTGATAGCCATGAGCTATTTGTGATGTGATATAGGCATGGACAGCCCCCCACCCCTCCAACATAAAAGCAAGACTCCCAGCCCAAAAGTTATTCTTATGAGAATGCTGTGGGATTTTTGCTTTTTGTTTTGTTTTTGTAGTATTTTTGAGTCTCTGCAGTTGCTTTGCATCTCTGGGCATTTTGCATTACCATCATTTTGAGTCTTTAGAATGTTTTAAGATTATTTGCTGACATTTTCAATCTTTTGTAACTGTTTTGTCTTTTTATAGTTGTTTTAAGTCTCTTTGCATTTATGTGCTGTCGTTTTAGTTCTGCTTCTAGCCACTTCAGAGGCTCCAGCACAGGGGCCCCCTGACCACTTGGCCCCAGTAGACCCATTCAGTGATCCTTTTGTGGATAAATGCATGAACTGGAGTGTTTGCTTTCTATAATGAGATCTGGAATATCCCTCTCTGTCAAAAACCCAACGTATATGTTGTGATAGCTGCAGAGGAAGTTGACCTAATTTTGGACTCAGAGTTGCTGTGGGCCCGAGGTTGAGGCTTGTACACAGCTGGTGACAATGTGAGACTGTAGATACTTCTCACACACTCCACAGTGGGGGGGACAGCATGAAAGCGCTCTGAAGATAGACCCCTCTGAGCTAAAAACTACGACTGTATTAAATAAACACCTGGTAGTATGTTTCCAGTGCACACGTGCAGCTCTGCTCTCACTGTGCTTGATGCAATGTTGGTGACTTGTGTTTGATAAACTTTGACGCTCCTTGCTTATCAATGGCACTGGGGCTTTGACAAAGCTGCTAATCTCAAAGCGATAAGCTTTTCTGTTGAAGTCGGTTTTCACCTGCTGCACGTAAAGAGGAGAAAGTTCAACAAGCTAGAGCTGCCCCTGTTGCAACGCTCGTCAGTAATCAAGTAGCTGATCATTAGAAGATTATTGGATGACAGTTTTAGTTTAAGTAATTCATCTGACTCATATGACCTGCCAAGTGACTGCAGATGAAAATGAATTTAAAGCTAACAATGGTTTAAAATGGTATATATGTTTAATATTACATGGCCCCGTACACATGAAATAAACAAATACATAAATAAACTAAATCCACTAGATTTTAATTATTATTTAGACAAAATAAGCAAATGCAAGACAAGCATTTTTAGAAATGAGCATTTTCTGACATTTATTAGGCTAAAGAATTAAAGGGAAATGTCAGCAATTCGGGGCAGTTCACAAGAGACATTTCTAAAATAAGAGCTTTTACTTCCCATATGCAGGCTACATTTCCAATGATGCGACTAGTAGTTGTATTTCTTTGCTGTAGGCCCTTTCTGCCTGGTGAACGTGCACATCTTTAAAACTCCATATGTCCAGTTTGTAACACAGGATTTTAGTTGTACATTTGAGACATCCCTAAGACGGGGCTATATTCTCTAACTAGACCAAGCTTCTCCAGAGGAAAGAGACAAACTATTGAAGGTACCTCTGAGTGAGACAATGAACCCTGTAATCAGTATTCAACACTGCTGTAATGTTAAC